CCCGCCAGCGCCATTCCATGAAGGAGTCCTATGTGTTTGAAGCCCGCTGTTCTTATCTTTTTGGGTGGTGGGGTTGGGGTATGGATTTCTAGCACGTTCATTTTCCACCCGTACTCCCCCTAACAACAAGAACCTAAAGAAAGCAAGAATAGAGAACTTGGTACTCAAAAACGGTTGTGAACACCAGAATAAGAATCTGCCATCGCCAAGGACACAGGATTTGTAGACAAGGGCTGCAACTGTTCTCAAAACGGCGGGTATATGTGCACGTACCACATACTGAAATTCCTCAAAAAGGAGCTGTCGAAACATGCATTCATGGGAGGGAGGGAAAAATCAACTATGCATTATCGAATTAGGGGAGGGAGCAAATGTGTCTCTGTCCATGGATCTGCGCAGTGGACCACACTGGCACCAAACTGACGATTTCCGATTCGTGTTTCCAACTTGTAAAATCGTGTTTGCAAAATAGCAGCGCATCTAAACAGGCAACATCGTGCAAATTAAATTGTGCACAATGAGGTTGTTTTCCCTGGGCCAGCGGCATTTACCTGGTAGCTGTGATCATGTCCGCCGCAGACGATGTCCACGCCCATTACGTGTTCAAGCAGCTTCCGGTCGTTGGGAGCCCTCATGTGCGTCACAGCCACAACCAATTCGGCGCCCTGCTCACGAAGATGCGCGGCTTGCTTGGCTCCCTCGGATATAAAGTCAATGTAATGCAAATCGCCTTCATCCACTGTGGCCAAAGTCGCCAGCCATTCGTGCTCCACAAGCCCCACAACGCCGACTTTGACACCAGACGTCTCAACCATCCACACCCTGCCCATACCACCAATGGGTTCCCCTACACGACCACACACGCACACACACCAAGGTTGTTCTCATGTGCAAGGGTGCAAACGTGTGAACTTTCATGAACTTTGTTTGCCAAACAATACAAGCAGGTACGCGCCGCCCTTTTACTGCGTGTGTCGTGGGGGATGAGCGAAGATTGTAACAGAACGCCATCTTCACAGGCGTTATCTTCAAGCCTCGGCAACCTCTCATCTCCCGGGCTTGCATCTCGACAATAGGGCCGTCTCCAGAAGGAAGATACGTGCCTCCTGGCGCGCCTTCCAATGCGCAATTTCTCTGGGGAACATCGCAGCTGTCCACGCGTACGCGTCACCACAGTGACGAGTTTGTTATCGCCACAGCCTCACGATATTCTCACCGATCTTGAGAAGAAAGTCATGGGGATTGGGAACTTCCATCTCACGGATTTCCCATCGACAGTTCGCGAGTGTCGGCGCATATTCAGTGCCAAACATACTGTGCACGGCAACCCAGAGAAGGCATGCTTTTTGCATGGATCTGTCGTGAAGGAACCGTGACACAACAGCCAATGATGAAAACTACATTTTGTAGGCCGACCACATTAAGATGAAAGGTCGCTAATTTTCGCGCTCACCAGTGAGAGATATCCTGTCAGCATGATATGGAACAGAATAATAGGAACTCAAAAGACGTTATTCGAGATCGATTATGGACAAGAAACCAAACCGCAAACGATAGAAATTCGGCAAGTGCAAATTATGTGAACTTGCGCAAGTCCTGTGCCGCAGGATCGGCAAGGATCCCAGGGTCCAGAAGCAATTGTACAATGCTCACTTCCACAGCGATAGACGAGCCAGAATCACGGGTAGGGAAAAGGACTGAAGCTTGTAAGACCCCCAAAATAGGGTTCTTCGCGTTTCCCATGTTCCTGACTGTGTGACTTTCTTCTCAGAAAGGATTTGCGACGCGCGTGCTCGTAAACTGTACGGCCTGACGTTCTACAGAGAGTGTACTGCCTTGTGATGACAATGGTGAATATCGGCTAAATGCCAAGGACAGACCCGACTGCGCAGCCCTTTTTGGAGACGGCTCACACTCGAAATTGGGCAGTGCAGCACATGCCAGCGCATGGCTGCATTTTCAAACCATGTTCAACAAGTCCTTACCAGTATCTTTGTCCAGAATGTTCGCAACCAGCCACGGAAACGCGCACGCCCCTGCAAACTTCTCGAAGTTCTCCAACCCAAAGTCCAGATCGTGGTTTCCGAGACAAGCGACGTGCACCCCAAGGGCATTGAGAATGGGCGCCATGTGCTGGCCGCGTGTGACTGTCGACATTGTCGAAGGATTCAGGCAGTCGCCGCTGAACAAGATGAGTGGATTTTCTTCCTTGAAGCTCTTGACCTACACCGAAAGGCGCAGAAGCACACAATCCAAACGAAATCCAATCCGCATGTGTGCGCACATGGGCGCTGCCACATGGGCGATGCGAATTTCTCCCTGAAATTCTAATCCTTCTCAGGAGGACGAGCTTCGCCTGCCAAATACCGTGGACCGTAGCAGCAAGTTTTCCTTCCGCCAACAAAATTGCAGGGGGATTTTAAGGGACGTGTTTTACAATTGTCCATACAGCGCTGGTTTGAAGTTTCCGAGGGGCGTGCAAACTGCGAGATCAAAGCATGCGCTGCCTCCCAGCAGAAAGCCTACATTGCTGAAAACTTGCTGACGATGCACACAGCCCATGTGGCTGAAACGGCGCCGCTGGTGGCTGACACTGTCACGGCTGCATTGTTGATGTGTGTGGAGTCAGTCGACTGGCGCATGGATGCAATCCGGACGACATTTCCAGGGGGAGCCCTTCCCAACACCAGCAGCTCCTCACCTTCCATGCGAATCGCGCAGCTCCACCAACGGGTTCCCTTGTCCCCGCCTCAATGTTGTAGACATCATTGAAGTGAAGAATCAGAAGCCTGCGCTTCCCATTGGCGCCCCTCATCGGGAAAACTCAACTGTGCTAGGTGTACGACGCGCCCACCTGGCATCACCCAGCACCAGCTGCTCATTGCAGGTATTTGCAGACTGCCGGTAGTACAGGGCACTCGTAAGAGGACGGGACTGGTGAAAGCGCCCGCAGGCAGGTCCAAGGCCTTAACGCGGGGGTGGAGTACGCACATGCACATGTACCAGGAGCCAGTCCCCACGCCTATGCGTTCACAGAATCGGAAAATGAAAGTTTCACCAACAAAGGACCGCGCTGCATGCATTGCCGGATTGGTGTGGCATCTGGCTGACAGTCGTGAACCGCACTTCGTCCTTTTTCTTCGCATTTGGCGGCGACTTTGCGGGTGCGTCCGCGGTCGCCAAGTGGCAGAAGACGTGGATTCACGTCACCTTTCGGGCTTGCGCACAGACGCTCGTGACGCTTTGTTCCTGTGAGACGCGCGGCATTTGCGAAATGGCGGCACAACATCACCTCTGTGGTCGACAGTTGCCATCGCACAGGGTTGTGTGCGACCCTTGAATTCACCCAGTGGTGTGCGAAACGAGGTTTGGGGGAATTCAAACAGAAATTGACTGGCCGCTTGTGTGCAATGATCGCCTGCAATAGCTCTGACAAATGCAATGCGAACATGACGGTTCCCAACGGGTCACCAAGCCCCAGTCGGCGCAAGCTGACAGCGCCATTACGCTGCTTTAGGCCACGGGACGCCACACGCACTCTGGCGCCCAGGGGCGCGAGGCGCCGCAACAGGCGCGGCCACCTCCCGCACAACACCGCGAGCAGGGAAAGGCGACTAAAGCTGCCTTCGAAAGTCCTGCCAGCCCAGATGGGCATGGCGACGGCCACCGAATCATGCACCTGCCGGCCAGGGATGGTGCGGCGGTTACAGCATCGGCCGTGGAGCAGGACGGACGGCCTCACCCACTTCGCCTGTTGCGACGGGGTGCCCTCGCACCGCCCTTCCGCTTGCCGATCGGCTTCCAATGCGCGTGACGCCCCCTGGATGTTCCCGGATGCTGCCCCCGATGAACAATGAGGTGCGAGCGGAAGCGGGCTGCCCAAGGGGGGGAGATGCCGCTGTGGGGAACGGGAACAGGGCTGTCCGCTAGCCTGGGCGTCTAGGCCTTGGAGGCGGGAGGCACACCTAACAGAATGGCTGAAGCGATGTGGGGCTGGGGGCACCCCGGAAGAACAATGCCATTTCGGTTCACCACCGGGAGCTCTCGAGCAGAACCCTTCTGCCCGAGCACGATTCCGAATACGTTCAATGTCTGACATCCACTGGAAGAGAAGGCACGTGCAATTTGCATGCCAGGCAACACGTGACCGCTGCACCACGCGCAGACCATGGTGACGAACCCATTGTGAAACCCGGAACCAAAACGAGGGCCCGTTCGGGCCAAAGTTTTAATGCACTGTGCCTCCCGCACGTTCTCCATTTGCAGATGCCAGTGCACGGCCATTGCGCCACCGGAATGTATGAAATAAGCCCGCCTTGGAATAGCCCGCTTTGGAATCCCCCATGCCGACACTCGTAAGGGCCTTTCTTGGCGCAGGGTGGGCAGCAGGCAGTAGGGTTGCAGCCCCTTGGTTGGGCCCATTCTCCGTTTGCGGTTCCTGCTTCGCGTAACTTCCGATTTCATGTAAGCACCGCACTCAGTAAGTAAGTAGTCTCCAGGCGCGGAGCACAGGAGGCACGCGCGGGTGCCGCTCCAGCGCCCGCCAGAATGACCACCACCGACGACATCGCGAAGCCCCTGGTCGACAGGCGGAGCTATGCCACCGTCACTCTCCAGAATGGCCTGCAAGCCCTCCTTATAAGCGACGCCGTCACCGACAAAGCGGCTGCAGCTTTGGACGTGCGTGGCGGATGTCCTGCTTGATCTGGGCCGTGCTGTCAAACTCTTTGGCCTTCAATCCGACCATTGCGTTGTGCGGCTCCACCCAGGCGGTGTCCTTTTGGGGGCGTGCCTCCAAACTTCGCCGTCTGTCTGCCGCACCACCGGGGCCGTCAATGACCGGCTCGCAACCCGGCAGCGCTAGGTCGTTGATCGCGTCCGTTTGTGCGAGCAGGTGAACACAGGCAGTCTCGATGAGCCGGACAGCGTCCTGGGCCTTGCCCATTTCACAGAGCACATGCTGTTCTACGCTTCCGAGAAGTACCCCACCGAGAGCGAGTACAGCAAGTTTATCCAGTCCCACGGAGGCTCGACGAACGCCACAACAGCCCTCGAGAACACCAGCTACCAGTTTGACGTCAATTGGGACAACCTGGAGCCCGCCCTCGACCGCTTCGCGCAGTTCTTCGTGCGGCCGATCATTTCGCCTGACGGGGTTGAGCGGGAGATGAAGGCCGTGCATTCAGAGTGAGTACCACCGCCGCTGGAGGGAAGGGCCCACAATGCGATGGTGTTGGGCGGCGATCTTGGGCGGCTCTGGTCTTGGGTGGCGGCCGTCTCGCTGAGTTTCGTTGCGTTTGACGCTGCCAGCAGTCAGCAGCGCAATCCCATTCCAACGATCCGTGTCCCAAGTGTGTGGAGCGCTCCTTTGCAGGCACAGCAAAAACTTGAACTCTGATGCCTGGCGGGCGCTGCAGCTGTCCAAAACGCTGTCAAAATCTGACCACCCATACCACCGCTTTCACGTGGGGAACCTGCAAACCCTTGGAGAGGCCCCTCGGGCAGCTGGAATCGAACCACACATTGCCGTGAGAGAGTTCACGGACAAGCATTACTCTGCAAACTTGATGAAGCTGGTGGTCTATGGCCGCGAGTCGGTGGAGGAACTACAAAAGATGGTGGAAGAGAAGTTCGGTGGCGTAATCAACAAGGGAATTACCAGGTCCCAATTCTCAGGTATGCATTTATCTTGCACAGCCCACCAAAGTCAGCTGGTGTTGCAACGCGATTGTAGGTGCTTGGGACCAACTGGTTGAGTGGTATGATGGTACAGGCAGCTTATACAGCAACAATCCATGATCACCTGCACATCGTGAAAGCCCAATCACCCCTGCTGTTTTGGTGGAATTTATTGGGCTGTGTCTGGCCCCTCTTCTGAATGCTGAAGCCACTCTCCTTTACAAGCATGTAGACGAGCGGAGCTTTGTGGCACGATCAGGTGATATTTTCGGCAAGGAGCATGTGCAGCTGCTTTTGAAGGTTGTTCCACAAAAGGATGATCACACCTTGCGGCTGCAGTGGGCAGTTCCACCGGAATGGAAAGTGTATTGGTGTGCACCTTGCCATTATGTATCCAATCTGCTGGGCCATGAGGGCAAGGGCAGTGTCTTTGCCCTGCTCAAGGAGCTGGGATATGCTACCAGCCTCTCTGCAGGGGAGAGTGGCACAGGTTTCAGTGAAAGGTAGTGCAGCACCAACCAGCATAGAATGTGGAATTTGCACACCTGTTGCAGAAGCATATGGCTGCAATGGGAATAAGGAAAAATCCCTGAATGGCACTGTGTCAGCCGATAAAATGCAGTTGAGTCCAGGACAGACTTCTGTGATTTTGTCATTGGAACAAATTTGCTGGGTTGTGAATGGAGCCTGCCATCACGTTTAAGGGTGCAAAGGCAGAGCACCATCCGTTCTGACCAACCAGTTTGAGCAGCAATGTGAAACTCTATCCCTGGTGTAGATATCATCTTATAGATTTTACTTACTCCCTGAATGGCACTGTGTCAGCCGATAAAATGCAGTTGAGTCCAGGACAGACTTCTGTGATTTTGTCATTGGAACAAATTTGCTGGGTTGTGAATGGAGCCTGCCATCACGTTTAAGGGTGCAAAGGCAGAGCACCATCCGTTCTGACCAACCAGTTTGAGCAGCAATGTGAAACTCTATCCCTGGTGTAGATATCATCACCATGGTGCCTCCGCTTGCTGACTATATCCTGCCATGTGGGCCCTGCCCTTTCGCCACCACCTGCCAGGCACCACTTCAAGAATTGTGTGCTTCTGTTGCAGATCCATGTTCCATGTGTCAGTGGAGCTGACCGATCTTGGCAATGAAAATGCTGTCACAGTGTTAGACATCATCTTCAAGTACTTGGCAATTCTGCAGGGCGAAAGGGGGGTCAGCGAGGAGATTTTCAATGAGCTCAAGGCCATTGATGAAATGTCCTTCAACTTCAAGGAAAAGTCGGACCCCTTTTCATACACCAAGACTGTGGCACACTCGATGCACTGGTCGCAACAACGTGACTGGCTCAGACCAAACGTGTCACAGGTGGGAATGCACGCTGTGTCCCCAAGAGGCTGCTGTGCTGGTGGTGTTGCAAGTCCTTGTCCAGCATGATGGCCAGGATGCCATCAGAAGATAATTGTCGATCTTACTGCTGGTTTCATGGCCATCCCCATGCACAACCAGTTGGATTTTGTGGTTGTGCTGCACTCCACTTCATTGCACGGGGTGATGGCACACAGTCACTGTGCAATATCGGCAACAACAGGCAACGCCAAATGCATGCTCAAGCTTCAGCTCCCCAGCTGTATGCTTGGTGAATTTCAAGTGCGTTATCCCAGTGGCTATTGCAATTGGAGATTATGTGGCAGTGTTTTTTTGGTGCAGTAGAGCTGCCAGATTTTCCATAAGCATATGCTGACAGGGTCCCTTGTTCCGATGTTCATTTCTGCATTGTGTGATTCCACAGGAATACAACCCAGAGGCAATTCGAGCTGTATTGAAGGAGCTGACACCATCGAAATTGCGGGTTATGTGGATGTCAAAGACTTTCAAAGGCACCACAGACCAGGTGGAGGCAGTGTATGGGACAGAGTACTCCTGTGAAACAATACCAGAGGAGTGGATCAAAAGATGGACAAACCCAGAACAGGACGACAGGTGTGTGTTTTCCACAGTCATGGTCAAGGCACATTAGCGATGAACCCACTGCCTATGGCCACTCAGCGAACTTCTGCTTAACAGCAGTTGTGCCCATTACATCAATCGTACATACTATAAGTAAGTGCCAGTGTGCCTGCAGCAAATGCGCTGGTAAGATGGTTGGTAGCAAGGCCACAAATGCACCGCTCAAGTTCTATTGAAGCTGCTTTTGAACACTGCACAGCTTCTGTATGGGCAGAGTCTGCAGTATTTGAGCTATTGTCATATTAGCAGTTTGAACAATCGCTGGCCCAACAAGACAAGATGGAAATTGCCCCCTCCCTCCCCATGCCCCCACCCGGCAGAGAGTTTGAATGTGCATCTGGTGTTTAGCAGTTTCTGGAGGATGTCGTTTGCAGCTCGCCTCTGTGGGCTATCATGCATCAGTCTATTCAGAGCTTGTGTTCAGAGCATTTCTTTTGACAGCTCAGCAACATGTCACAACCTCTCCATTCTTGCATAGGCTGCATCTCCCAGAACCAAACCCATTTGTTCCAACTGACTTCACACTGCTAAATGAACCTGGCAACACTCCTCATCCCCAAGATGTGTTCTCTGGAGAGGTGGTCAAGATGTGGAATGCAGCTGATACATCTTTCGAAGTTCCCAAAGCACATGTGTACCTGCGAATACTCTGTCCAAAGGCATACGAGTCGCCAGAGTCAGCGGTGTTGAACAGGTGAGAAACTTTCTTGCATGCATGTCATGCACAGGGCCATGGTGCAGTGTTGGAGTGGATGAGGCCTGATGGGGCTGATCTATGACTGAGTGGTACAGACCATTCTGTATGGCTTGGCCCCCCGCCCCTGCCTCTTGCATTCTGCTGTGTAAACTTCATCCTGTGCTTGCAGAGAAGCTGTTGTCTTGGGTCTATAGTGAAGAGCACTCTTGGTTGGCAATCACAACATTGCGAACCGCAATCTTTGTGCTGTTGTGCACCATGCACACGGGGTACAGCCAACCACTTCTGGGTGATGGACAGCATGCAATGTGCTGCTTCACCATGTTGTCTTTGCTCTGGATCGCCCCGAGTGCTTGGTGTTTCATGGCTTGAGAGGAGTGCTGCATGCTTGCAGGCTTTTTGTGCACCTATTGACAGACAGCATGAATGAGCTTGCCTACCCAGCTGAAATTGCTGGCCTTTCGTATGGAATTTGTGCAACCTCAGTGGGAATCAGGGTGACAGCAACGGGCTACACTCACAAACTCATGACCCTTGTGGATATGATACTGGATCACATGTTGGGGTTGGAGATCAAGGAGAGCCGATTCCAGATCGTCCATGAGCAGGTACAGCGGGAATATATCAACCAGAAGTACATGCAACCCTACCAGCGAGCCATCTACACAACAGGAGTCATCCTGGAGCATCCCAAATGGCACACAGACATGTACATGGAGGTTATTAAGGATCTCGCTGTCGATGACGTTGCATCCTTTGTGAAGGACTTGTTCAAACGGTAAGCCATTTTCCAGTGTGTGGTGCTGGAGTGTCATAATGTGTGTTCCCTGTTTTTTTTTGTTTTTCTTTCTTTTCTGTGCTGCTTGCGAATGGTACAAGGGATGCAGCATGATTTGTGCACTTGTCACACATTGCTGAAACATTGCGCTTTGGGAAGCAGATCAGTATTCGTCATGCAGCTTTGAGACTCATGCCCTTCTCCAGCACTTGTACTTGCATTCGCCCCACCCAGCAGTCTGCTATTGTGACAAAACAGGAAAGAAAAGCACACTATAATGCGATGTACTTGAGGAGATGGCACTTACAACATGGACACGAAGCATGCCACCACCAGTATTGTTGATGCAACTCTGCTTGCGACTGGGCAGGTGGGAGATGCACACGTCACAGAGCAGTAACATCCTCCTGTAGCTTTGCAAACTGCCACAAACTAACTCACAGAACGGGCAGATCTTCTTGTATCGGCTGCAGATCTGATATCTTGTCGCAGCGGAGGCTCCTTGCACTCGCCCGAGGTTTCCCTGAAATCAGGCAGCACTTTTGTGTACTGGCCATGTCCCAGGCATGTCCCTGTTTGAGGCACGATAACACACAGATGCTCCTCACAATGTCGATGGTGGAGAGGTGCAATCTGCGTAAGGAAACGTGCATTGATTGTTGGGTGCATGCAATCCTCAGGTGCCACATCATTGGTCTCATCACTGGAAACATGTCGAATGAGCAGGCTGCGGCCTCGGCACAAAGCCTGGAACGCAGGTTCAGTTCATCCAAGAAGATTTTTGCCCCGCAGTTGAGCTGTGAGCGGCTTGTAAAGATTAGGCAAGGCTCCAGTTTGAGGTTTTCTGAGGCGGGCCCAAACCCTGAAAACGACAATTCTGCAGTCAATGTAGTGTACCAGGTGAGGAGAGGACTTTGCACGCCGGCACAAACTTGCTGCCCGGTTCGGTATCTATTTGGCGCTGATGTGGTAATGTGGTTGTTTGAGAAGCCTGCATGGTGTGTCCTTGACCCTGGGATCCAGTGAAGCCCGCGTTGCACAGCATCAGCACATGTGCCCTGTCAACCATTGTGAATATTGCCAGTTCTGTTTGGGTAGCAGAGAGTTAGCATGTTGCTGCCCAAAGCAATGGCATTGGATGTTGTGCACATGCATGTGGCAATCTGGTGTCCTTGCTTCAAGCAATTTGGCTGCATTCCTGGCCAGAATGGAGTTTGCCACATGGGAGCTTCCGCCAGTTAGAAGTCCCAAACAGGCACCTAATTCGGGACAGCGAATCTTGAGCTCACAGCGCGACTCGTACACTCAGATACTGCTACAGCCGGCACACAAGTGTGTGGATATGTTGTAACTAGCTGCAGGCTCTGAAATATTGCACGTTTGCACCACCGCCGTCTTTCATGTGTGACAGCACCACAAATGTCGGATCCCTTTTTTTCGGAATGTGAATCCATGAAGGTCGCGAAGTCGTAGTAGCATGAGGTCATGAAGGTCATCTTCGGTTTAGGGTGTTCAGGTTCTTAAGACGCGAGTCCTTGGTAGCATCCATGACCTTGAAGACGCCTTCATGATCGTCCTGCCTGGAACTGATATGTGTCGTACACTCCTCGACAGCACGCCGCTGTGGCACAGAATCGGCGCTGCGTCTGCTCTGGGCGTCGTCGCGTGGCAATTCCTATCCGGCTGCCCATTCGCTATTTGTGGGCAGCCAGGGTAAAGCGGTGTAATGTGGTGTCAGATTGGGCCCGACAACTTACGCACGAACGCCCTGTCGGAGCTGCTGGTACACATCGGTGGCAGCGAGGCATTCGAACAGTTGCGGACCGTGGAGCAGCTGGGGTACATCGTCGTCATGCTCTCCTGGGATGACTTGACTGTTAGACACGTGAGGTTCATCATCCAGTCAAGCTCGCATTCAGCCTCGCACCTGGATGCAAGGGTGGAGTCGTTCCTGGATCAGCTGCAGCAGCATCTCGAAGGTATGACGAAAGTCGCTTGATTTTTCTGGTGGAACGGCCAGGGCGCACAGTACCCAGGTGTTGCGTGCTGGAGTTGGGAACCTTGCCCGGGCCTGCGCTTTGGTAGGGTCAGGGCTGGTGGGGGCGGGTGGACGCGTATTTACAGCTGAAACGTGGGGCGTCACCGCATTCAGCAGAGGGTTGTCCGATGTCAGTGCCCTTCCAGATATGAAGGTCATGACGACAGCCATAGAAACCTAGACAAGGGGAAATTGCCTGAGTAGCCGGAAAATGACCTTCATCACCTTCGTGCGCGAAAATGAATGGTACCGGACATTTGTTACTCAAATTGGGCGCGATTCTCGCAACACATCACCTTCTTGATGGATTGTCACAGCTTCGCAGCATTTCTCTGCGGTCCTGCAGCCTGCCTGTTCGGTCAAGGGGTCTGACAATGGCGTTGCTCGCTGCCTTCAGGGATGGATTGTGCGACGTATGAGAAGGAGGTGGAGGAGCTCAGCAAGGCGAAACTCGAGAAGCCAAAGCGCTTGTCTGAGCTGGCATCGCGCTATTGGCACGAGATTGTCGACGGGACGTACTTGTTTGACAGACAGGTGTGCGCCAGCACGCAGCCGCTCACACTGTGTGAGTGCTCCAGCAGCTTTGGCCAACAGCCACAGCAAGGAGCACGTTGTCCATGCGATTGTGCCTAGTAGATTGACGAGTCGATTGCGCACCACTGCGTTGGGGGACAAGGCGCGACGGCTGTCGCTTGTTCACTGTCTGCAAGGCGCGGCAAGTCTCGGGCGCTCTGCTTGCCTGCGTTGTTTGGAGTTTCCATCTCGGTGCAACGCGGCAAAGAGCTGTTCGAACTGTAGTGTAATACACTGGAATTCCACAAAAAAAAGACACGGCTGAGAGCAGTACGAAACGCACTGATGGCTTGCTGTGGGCAGGAACGCGAGGTTGGAGAGCTGCGAGGTTTGACGAAAGAAGACTTCATAGAATTTTTCAAGTCCATGGTCCATTCCAAGCAGGGCCAGAGGAAGTTGAGCGTCCATGTGGTTGGGGCTGCGGAACTGCAGCGCCTGGGGACCGCTGATGCACCGGAAGGCGAGGGAGTGAAGGGCGTGAGTGATATTTGGGAATTCAAACGGGGGCAGGAGTTGTATGCATCTGTCGGTGAAGCAGCTGCGAAACGGTCACCGAAATAGAGCTGAGGGGTTCACCTTTGGCAAGCTGCCAGAAGTCGCCACTCCTGATGGAAGCGAACAGGAGATGGGGCCAACTGGGCCGCATCCAATCTGACAATCAGTTTGCGTGCTTAATGTCGGTTGCTTTAAAACATGTGACCATGGCATTCTCTTGCCGGGCACATGGAATTGGTTCTTGGAACTGCTCTTCGGACACCATTAAGGCATGGCCCACCCAACAGTGCAGGACAGTTGCCCAACGCAGTGCACTGTGCCACATGCTTGGCCTTGGATGGGTGTATCACCCGAGACGACTGGAACCTGTTCAGTCACGGCCAACAGACTTGAAGACTTGCTGAATTCCGTTCGTCCATTGCTGGCATATGCGACGTCAACTCGCAGCGACAAACGCGACTTTAGTGGGCTACACTCCACGGCCAAGGTTACGTATGATTGTCCGAACTGAAGCAGGTCCCAGCGTCTGGTGTTGGACGACGCTGGACGCACCCAGTCCGCCGTGTTTCCAGTTCCCAGTCTCAGAAGACGGGACCGTTGCCAAGCCACTCCAAGAGCAAGCGACCCCAAAGGATACCAGTGAGGACGCCGCCGCCTATGTGCACTATGCTTCTCGTTTCGTTTGTAAATTGCGGAAACCACAAACTTTGAATAAACTTTGTCAAAGCCACGTGGGCGCAAAATGTCTGAACGCGGACTGCCGAATCTCGGAAAGTGGTGGAGTGTGGCGGCAGCCCCAAGAGAGGCACCCAACGATGCGTTTACTGTGCGCAATTCCACCGATCCATCACGCACCCAAAGCGCCTTTGCCATGGACACGATTGTCGCGCACTTAAAGCCTTACATACCATCCAGTTACTGCACCCACCCTGGACTGCGGCCCTATGCTACGCCAGCGACTCTCGCGCTGCACATCCCTGGCATCCAACAGCGACAGCGAAGGCGATTGCGATTGCCAGACGGGGCGTATGTGCCCGGCGCGAGCATGTCAGTTGCTGTCAGCGTTAGTCTTGTGGCCTCGTAGACTGGAGGTACGCCCACAGTGGCCCAACCGCCGAGGATCGCCAACCGTGCGGGCGAGGCATCACCTGCTTGCTGCGCCCTTCGCCATCTCCCTGCAAACACCGACGAAGCCTTCAATCACACAGTTTATTCCTGCATTCAGTACGAAGTCCAACACGTCCACAGGCATCTCTTCGTCCATCGTACTCCTTTTTGTGGCGCATATTGAATGATCACAGAAGGTGGTGACGGAATGGATGTCTTGCCTACATACCCACTGAGTGCGTAGTGGAACAAAGCTTGTAAGTAGCTGATTTAGGGAAATCGCGTACACGAAGGTGCTGCCCCTTCTTTTTCAAATCCTTCGATTACATTTGTCACCAAAACAGCACAAACCACTGCCCTTGCAACTTTTAGGTGGTGATGGGCATGAATTCCAGAGCAGTGTTGATAATCGTATCTCATTGTTTGTTCAGTGCCGCACAGAACGCCCTCCCCCCGAGTCCCGAACCCCCCCTCTCTCTCAAATTAAAGCCAGCTCGTGATTCATCCCCGTTCCTGGTAATGAAACCTCACCACAGTGGAAAACTATGATCAGGACATAGTAGCCTAGTGTACAAGCAGCAGTTTCTACCCATTCCATGCGAGGTGCTGCCCCTTAAAACCCAATTTTTGGTGAGCCTTCCCCACATCAATAGAATGCGAACCCATGTCAACATGGGGTTGCCGCAGCATCAGGAAAATCACTTATTGCCAACGATTGGCAGTCCTGCTGTACAATTGCCATCGTGGTAACAAAAAGGCGGCTGCTCGCCTGCAATGCGGCCAGATGAGCAGAAATGCTGCTAGGACTTACGACTATGGCCGCTGCCCACCAACATGTTCATTGACATCTTTTTTTGAGTTCTGCTGGATCGTCAGATCTTTAAGAGATTTTGCCCGTCACAGGTTGCCAATAGACATTGCATTCTTACCGGGTTCTGACTGCCATTGGCTTGGCCATTAGCACCGCTTTGGCGGGCAGTCTTCATCAGCTCAGATTTCCGAGCATGAAGCTCTTCCGCAAGCTGTGCCAGGGTACTCTCCGTTAGCACTGCTGGACTTGCATTCTTCCCACATCCATTTTCAGTAGAAGCCACTTGACCAGGCGACAGGCTGGACTGTTTGGAGTGATTGGGTCCTCTGCGACGTCGCTTCCTGCCTCCTTCACCCCTTGTCTGGGGCGTGTGTTGGGCTATGCAATGTGAGACAGCCCCATTCGGCTGCCCTCCACTGCTTTCCATGCCTGGATCTTGGGAAGATCTTTGAACTGGTGGGCCATTCCCACTGTGTGCTGCGTACTGCCCAGATGCAAGTGCCTTGGACGCTTCAACAAGGCGGATCTGCAGGGTTCCAAGACGTTGTTATCAATGGCCGTTGTCTGGATTTAGCAGGCGTGGAAAAGGTTTGTTTCAAGCCATTGCTGCATCACACTGGGATCTGCAGTTTAAGACATGAACAACACACCTCAACAAAGTCCAGGCGTTTTCTCGTCAACGTCCCATCATCAGCATACTCCGATTGTGGTGGCAAGAGGCCTGGGCCATCATCTTCATTGTCTGCATCGCTGGAACCACAAGCCTGTAGCTTGTCATGTTGTTCTTGCACGTTTGGGTCAGGGTGAATGCTGACATCAGGCCATGGAGAGAGCACCGTCCAGCCCTGTTCAGCATCGTAAGACGTCACCTTGCCACGGCGGAAAGCTGACACCTGGAGCACACCATTCAGCACGACAGCTCAACCATGAAAAGATGCACGATGGTCTGCTCCATCAATTCTGTGTCAAACATTAGTGCCAGATCCAGCTTGTAGAATGCTCATGAGCAGAGTGCTTTGTGCTCTGTTCTTGAAGCCCTTCAAACTAGCATGCACTGGAAAAGCTTCCAAACCAATTGCTGTTGGTACCAATGCTGCAGATAGCATACAAAACTTTACAACGCCAATAACAACAACCCAATAGGCAACCCAGGGGGTTGGTCCAAAAGTGCACACAATAGTACCGCTCCTGTATTCGTTTTCTGTTGTGGTATTCATGTACTCTATTCTATTCTAAGTATATCCACAGTCCAGCTCAGTGATGCTCGAGCTTCGTAATGATATTCGGGGATGAAATATTCCCACACCTGGTCTTGGTGCCAGGCATCATGACTGGTTCAGCTGCACCGCTGGCAGCATGGATCGTTGGCGGAGATGGGAAAAGTATGGCGCCATGCTGCTGATACGGCATTTACACAAGTGCTGCTAGATTTGGCACATACCCGTGGCTGCCAGTCTTGCCCAACTTCAAGGATCCTGTATGCCACCACATCTCCAATAGCAGGCTCTCGATCAAGAACTGGTAGGGTATCTGTGGTTCGCTGCCAATCGTCCATTTCATTGAGATGGTGGTTTGTGTGTGCCTCCTTGTGATGAACTTTTCCGTCGTCGCTGCACTTCTCTTCACCAGCTGCATTACTGTCTGTTGATCCGCTGCTTGACTCGTCGCTTTCAGAGGATGAAGTTGTCTCCTCGGTTGTTGTGGAGGAGTTACCGACCTCCGAAGAACTGTCTGATGACCCAGTGCTGGATGCCTCTGACGACGAATCAGCTGAAGTCGTGTCATCGCTGGTATCATCGCTTGACTGCTGGTCCGAGGAGCTGCTCGTATGGCTGCTATCAAAACGCACATGGGCCTGTGCAATGGTTGCACAGTCAGATTCTTGAGCTCATAACCAGTGCACAGCTCAGCCACAGAATTGCTGCAAGGGCACCGTGTTGCAACGATCCTCAGCCCAGAGTGGCAGTCAGATTGAAGGTAGTTGCTGCTTCTGTGTGTGCCTTGCACCGATGAAACTCCTCTATACCCAGCTCCACATGACCAACATACATGCAGGTACACAGCAACGATAAAATGCACACAAGAGCTACATAGAGTAGCACAAACTTACAGTTCCACAGTAAAAGGTTCATTTGTACAGGGAGGGACAGATTCGCACAGCCTGCATCTTATGCAACACCCAGTGCTTGTGGGGCACTCTCCAGTCAAAGCATGCTATCACCTGTACCTGTTGCAACTTTTTGGGTGCTGTCGTCCCCTTGGCCACAGCTGCCCTCTCACTACATTCCTTCTGAGGCGCAGCCAAAGATCTGCCTTCACGACCAGCGAGCTTTTTGTTTGGTGGTGCAACATCTCCACCAGCCACTGTGGGCGCCTGGTGCTTTCTCTTTCTGCCTGTAAGCTGGACTTCTTCTTGGCACTTGGACTGCAGTTTAGGGACCTGCTGTGCACTGTGGAGTGCTGTGGGGTTGGAAACCTTTTTAGTTCGTTGGATATACCCTACTGGGGAGGAGGCTCGTTTCACCTGAGCAGCACGTGAGGGTCGAGTAGATTCACTCACAGTAGAAGACAAGCCTAACTATCAAGCAATCGTCAACAATGCAAGCCTGCATGGGGTGTGCAGTAACAAGCTGCTGAAGCTGAATTTCAATGATGGACAATTAAGTCGCATTCCAGCTAGCATTGGACAGTGCTGTTGCAGCAATTAGATACAACTCATTCAACTTCACTTGAATATATTTGTCTTGTGAAGACAAAGAACAGCCATTCCACCTGATAGGTGATGACAAGCATAAATCCATACACAGCGCTTGTGCATGTTCCCATGTCCACTCATGTACTCGATGAATTCGATGCCATCCAGCAGTGAATTCATCCCCACTGACCACAGCAACAGGAGCAGCAACATGAATAGACAACTCCACTAATGAGTCTGCAGACAAGTACCTTCCAAAGAGTACTGAACTGAACAAACATTCAGAATACATACAAAGCATACAGAAGTCAACACAGGTATGCACTGTTGACTCGTGCATGAAACACAACAGCATACAGAATGGGCATGGCCAGCCCCTCAACTGCCCAAAGTGTACCTCAAGAAGCCCCACATCGACCAATTCATTAGGCATCAGAATTCGAACTGGGCTCTTGAAAGGCACTGTGAATCCTTCAACCGAGAAATGCAGCTGCTCCACAGAGCATCCTAGGGTAAAGTCGTGGCAGACCTGGAGGAGCAGGATGGCACAGCAATCACACAGAAGCAGGTGCAGACTACCGATCAACATTTATCTGCACTCCTATGGTTGCAACAGCAGAGGGTTACAAGCAATATCTGTGCCCCAACTCACAGATACATTAAAACACCCACTGCTTGCCATGGGCACAGTGGGACTGCCTCTGCCCTACTCTCCGGTCGTCAGTGCATTGTCCCCATGGCTTCCCTTTGTTCCCACATGAAGTGATTGGCCAGGACTGAAGCCCTTTCAGGGAACTGATCCAGATCATACTTTCAGCACCCACAATGTCTTTGCTGCATGGCAGTGCTGCAAGGTTGTGCGTCATAATGATGTGGATCACAAACATTGCTGTATGGATCATCGACACATCATGCGCTTCTTGGGGTGCAATACACAAAACAATCAGAATCTTATGAAGTATTTGCACTGGTGAAGTTCTAGATTGTGTATAACAATAATGCTCCCACAACAGTGGGTGTGGGAGCTTCCATTCACAAAAGGAGCAATTCCATTTACCCAGTACAGGCCATGGTTTCTTTTCGCTATGGTCATGTGACACAGGAAAACACACAAGAAATCTTCTGCCTTCCGTTCCAAGTTCTGCCTGCCATAACAATGCCACCAAGTCCAGAAGCACTAGTGTGCAGTGCATGGGACTAGCAAGAATGGAAGCCAACTCACATCGACGCACTACATGCAAGGCTTGAATGGCTGCTGCATTGCTCTTGCACATTGTTCACAAGCAAACTGCAGATCCCCACCTGTCTGGCCAAATCGGCAATTGTCCTGATCTCTGGCCGTAACAGATACCTGCAGGCACAGTCTAGTTAAATTCATTGGCGCATCATCTGATCCCCGTTTTCGTATTCAGACAGTCTACAATTTAGCAGAAAGGCAGCAGCTCATATCCAGGAATAATGCCACCATGGTGTCAAATAGGATAGAAATAGAAACATGCAATGGAGCGATGCACTTGGATCAGCCAGTGTTCAGCGATGGGCGGAATAGGTGAAGACATGGAGTGGAACATACATCAGTTTGAAAGGGAACACCACATACCATTATTACCGTGCATTGGTAGCCAAACCACATCTCTGGTGGCTCAATCCAGATAAGAATGACATGACAAGGTATTGGTATTTTCTTGAAAGCACTTGTCCTGCAGCACTACCATGATAGTCAATTGAAGGCTGGCTGGTTGGCGCCTGTTATCACGTTTCACAGCAGTTTTGCCTGCTCCGATCGATGGGGAAGAAAGCTGTACAGTTTTCAAGCAGTTGCAGGCCAGTCAGAAGCGCATTAGTGACAGTTTCAAGGTGTTGTTGATGAGGTCAATGACAAAAGGATTTTTGCTGTTGTGCAGTTGGTGACTTTGTTGTTTGTGTCGTCCAATTTTCGTTGCTATATGGACTTCTTCCCATCTCTTGGGCCTGGGGTTCAATATGTTCCCCGCTCCTTGCATCCACACCACGTTTTGAGCCCCTGGCACCTGGTGCTAATACTGGGTAATCGTGCAATTGGCCCTGACTTCCGTGGCATCCACATACTCTCATGGGGCTGGTTTCGAAATCAGCCCCATGAGCAGGTGCATTTGGTGGAATGCATATCATGCACCGCAACAAGCAGCTTTGCCGAACAGAGATTACGTGAAATTCACCAGTTCAGGTTCGCCCCAGCTCAAGATTTGATTGGACAGAACCCAAAGTAACCCAGTTGCTCAAGGACCCTTGACAAGAGCGAGTATCCCCGATGCCGCTCCCCTCTCCGTCATTGGGCACGCAGGTCATGGTCACCCGAGCGACTGGCAAGCGTGTTGGGACCTACAGCGCGCGATGCAGCTTCCTCTCCCTGAGCATTGCAGTCACAATGCATTTCTCGAAGACCAAACGCAGGCGGTGAACAGGCCCACGCGCGGGCGCCCCGCGGAGGCCCGCAGCCGGCTTCTGGCGCTTCTTCGCGCCGCCCATGGCCCAACGCAACTGTGGCGGAGGTACGGGCCGTCGTTTTGTGTATGTAGCAAATTCCATGCCCAATGTTGTGGTTGATGCATCAAGACCGTCATACGGCAGTCTCAGCCGTTGGTGTGGCGTCAAGATGTTGTTACGGCTAGAACTGATTGAGTGTTATAAATAACTGAATGTATGAAAAGATGACGAAGCACTAGGAATTACATTAAGGATGTTGATGAACGGACTGGGTATAAAGGACAGAACGTCTGTTGTCCTTTTGCCTCGGCTGCAAACCGTTGCCGTGGACTTGAGCGTACGATTCCCGTTCAGGGATCGCCACCCCTCGACCCTGCCTGCCTTCGTCAATGTCACACGCGTGCACATTCAGGCCCGGGAGCGAGGAGGCTACGTCGGCAGTTAGTATAGTGAAACTGTCATCGCAGAGAACCGCAAGCATAGGGACCTTAGACACAGGGGACATGACACCATGACACCAACCCCGATTGTCAGGCGTCGGTTAGCCACAAATATCCACCACAACATGCACACAAATGCTGTTTCTGGACCATCCTGTTTTTAATGACGCAGCTGCCAAAGTGTTGTCCACCCCTGCCATGTATAACCCTGTCTGTCGCCCCCGAGTGCTGTGTCTGCGCTCAGGAGTAAGGGACCATGTTGCTTTGGGGGGTATGGGGTAATGCAAGGCCGCGCAGCGAGCAGCGATTCCTTTTTCCTTGGGGGCGACTAGGTGGGGGTTGGGGTTGTTTGTAAACAAGGCCGTTTCGGCGGCACCAGATTGTGGCCGAGGGTCGTGCTTGTGGCGGCTGAGGGAAGCCTGCTCTTTTCGCAATTGGTGTGAAGTTCTTTTGTGATAGGAAGAACGTGGGAAGGAAGCTAGTGATAGCCCTGCAGTCGTATGATGATCGGCTGTGTGACAGAATCGTCGCATGGGCGTCTGAATGACGGCCACAGGGGTACTGATATGGGACCGGGTGGTCATGGAAAGGTAACAGATGGTGATTCGTGCAAGAAGAAGAAAATTTCCTTCATATGGTGCAACGGCAAAATGTGGATGTCACCTTCCGTGCCATAACTGCAGGTTTTCGTGCAAGGAAAGTTGGCACGAAGGCTGCGCTCAAATTCGAAGACTGGCGAGCAAATACCCAAAACCCGAGTTCCGTGTGGGTGTTGCGCATAGCGGCTGTGTGCGGGCGCCAGCGGACTGGCGACAGAGCATGCAGTCTGCGCTTCTTGTGAGCACTCCAAGGAACGGCTTGACTTCAACCGGCATCTCGAACGGACCGCCGCTACTCGACGACGATCATGTTGTACGTCAAGTCAGAGGGTGGATGCCACGACGGCAACACACGAACAGCAGGGACGGATACAAAAACACGAGGCGCTCAGCGGTTCAGAGAGGGGTAGGCGGTTTTGAAAAGGCGCGCAGTGGCGAGGCGAGGGTGTCACTCCCAAAGACCACCTGTGGATGGTGCATTTCGTCTACAGCGATCGCTCGTACCCCGCCATGCCAACGCAATCAAATGCAGGACGATGTTGGGGATGCCTGGGAAATCGGCCTTGGGAGATGTTCAGGAATACAGTCCACGGTTTCCAGATCACGAAGGCAGTGAACAAGGCGACGAGTTGTCTGCGTCGAAATGGAGAGTGTCTTGGAGACATTGGAAACGGACGTCGATGCTACAGGCCACTTCAAGCGCGACCCGATGTTGGGCGGCAGAGCAATTCGTTGCCTGTCACCCACGTCTCAGTCACCGACGTCGCCTGTCCGCAAGGGTGCCGTCCTGTGTTGTGCACAGCGAGCGCCTGAGCCCTCGACGAAGCTGCCCTGGGCTTGCACTCCTTCATTCTTGGTGGCCGGCCACTGCATCATCTTGCCATCTTCACCAAGATGCAGGATTCACCGATCCTTGCCACTGTGGTGCCGCACTGAGTTGGTGCGAGTTCATGTGGAGTTTCTGCGGATAATTTTCATCAAATCTCCATCGCACCGCCATTACGTCAAACGTTGGCCTTTCCATCGCCCCATGGAAACTGAGCAACAGGAACTCAACAACCTGAACATGGCCAACACCCAATCCACACACTTGCAAAACTCACTTGCGAAGTCTGCATACTTTCGTTCACAAGCGACCCTATAGCTCTCTCTGCCTGCACACGCGATCTTGAGCACACTGACCCAGGAAATAATAGCTGCATTGATATGCCAAAATACACAGGCTGCCAACGACCACTAAAGTCCACACTGGTACCTAAACCTTACAAGATACCGACCGGCTTGGTATGTCGGCTGCAGTATGTTCACAGGTGACATTCTGTGCCACAACCCTCTGTCCACAGTGTCCTTGCCCTGCAAATCCGTGTGGCCCCTGTGAGGACAGCACAACCTATGTGCTGCCACTCCCTTTCCTAACTTTGTCCATAAGCTGCAGCCAGTCAGCCTTCTTCGGGCCTGGCCTCTGCTTTTCTAGATCCCAAATGTCTCCACCGTGCCCCCTCTTCAGCAACCACTCTTTGATTTTCTTGACCGTCATTGTTCCTGGGGTTAAATTCTCATCCCCATCCTCAGCTGCCTGAGACGTGTGTGGGGAGGCGAGCTCATCTGAAGCAGAAACGCATAGCCACAACCACACACAAAGATCACCAACATACAGGACCACACACAGCATAGCTGCAGGGCACATCGCACAGCACTTTGTTTTCTTGCTCGTGTTTTTACAACATACACAACCAAAGGTAAATGAGCACCTCTCTAGAAATTTGCAGTGCATATACTTGGCAGCTACATTGCTCTGCAGCTTGCATGTCCAAGGTCACCAGTCACATGCCCACACACAGCAGTCTGCAAGGGCAGCCACTGGAAAAGTCCACACAGGTTTGTCCCATGGTTCCAAAGCCTCATCACTGGCTAAACGCAATGCAGATAGCATAGTCAGGTCCTGTGATCCAAGAACACAAACCAACATGCGCACAACACACTGACATACATGTTGACACCAGAGGGGCAATTTTCACAGGTTGCAACTGTGCGGCACTGCTATCCTTGCAAAAGCAAGAAATTCCACATGATGAACCTTAACTTCCCTTAGAAATTCGCCCTCCCATACCTGCCACTGGCAACCCATGTGCATCCTCTCCATTGGCAGATACTGTAGGATGCCTACGCCTCTTGCCGAGCTGTGGTGATGCAAGGGCTTCTTCTGGAACTGCTCCGGTGGACGCCTCAGCCTCCAGCTTCCTCACCAATTCTTTTAGGTGAAGCACCTCATCCTGAGCAGATTCACGCAAGCTGCGCTCCTGTGACAGCGACTCATCCAGCATCACTGCTTGCCTCTGTAGTCTCATTGTCTCCTCCCTGCGATTTTCAAGTTCTTGACTGGCTTGCGCAAGCTGGCCTGCAGCTGCCTGTCGCTCATGTTCAGACATTTCCTGCATGAGGCAAGGCAAGCAGGGTCACAATGCTGCACATGGAAAGAACACACAGTGCATATGCAAACTGTGTGCAGATCTGGAAGTTCACCAAATGCATTGGGAAGTTGAATTGGGCAGCAGATCGCTCCCATCGCTTGTGCCAATACACCAGTGCACGACCCGCAATACTTTCCTGGGAACCTCCCCTGGGAAACTCCTTTCAAGTTAGATGTCTGATTCACTCCAGACCATCGAGCATTTCAACAGCCTTGAGGCTGCAGCACAGCGAGCGACTCGCACCTTTGTCAAACGCATTGTCTGCAGTTCCTGCTCCAGACTAGTTGCCCGTTCCACTGCCTGGTCTCGTTCCCCCGTCAATTGTGCAACCTCTCGCATGGCAGATGATACCTCAGAGGCCTGCTGGCTGGCCTGACTCAACATGTCTGACTCCCTTTTCCTGAGGTCATCTTTCGCAACAGACAGCTCCCTCTCCACACAATCGAGCTTCCTGCGCATTTCTGCTGTTGTTTGTTCCCTGCTGTCCATTTTGGTCCTCATCCCATCCAGTTGCAGGGTTAATTCTTGTGCTCTCAATTTAAGGGTGCTGCTTTCCTGCTTCACAGTGCCCAAATCAGCGTGCAGTGCCTGCAGCTCGTGGTCCTTTCTAGACACCTGCTCCCTCAGGTTTCTGGCTTCCTGCTGTGCCTGCTCCTGTGCACTAGATACAGATGCAGACTTCGCCCGCAGGTCAGACAGCTGGCGTTGCAATTCCTCTGCATTCAGCTTCATTTGGTCTCTCTCACTGCAATATTGTGAACCCTGCTGCTTCAGCTCCTCCAGCTTCTCCTGTGCCACCTTGGCGCTTTGCTCCATTTTCGACAACCGATCTGCAGCCTAAAGAAAGTGCACCCAGCATACCGAATCAGTATATCCAGCAATGCCAAGCATATGGAGCCCCACAGGCTTGCATTGAAATCCACATCTATTGAATTCTGGATGGCCAAAGCACAGGAAGAATTACATAAATTCCTCACACATACTGGCTGCTGCCCTTGCATCACCAAAATGCTGCATCCGACACAGTGCACATGACCATGGAATACATTCTGGCTGGAGAGCAGCAGCTTCTTTATCTCGATTGTGCTTGGTTGGCCTTTAACCACTGCCCCTTGGGTGTGGCGATGCCCACATGCAGGAAAGAAATAAGCACATGACTCCTATAACATGAGCACAATATTCACAATGAGCTCCCACACAGTGCCCCTGCCTCAAGGGAGGAGGCAAGGGGGACTTCCTTCAATGCCCACTCACTCTCTCCTCTGCTCTATTTTTCTCTGTAAGCTGTGCCTTGAGCCTCTGTTCCAGATCGGTTGCAAATGAAGCATAACAGTCCAAAACGAAATCAGCCATTCTGCGCCATTTCGTAGTCCCGCTTGTCCTGGATGCATAATCTTGCATGAAGGCCTTCACCTGTGAACGGAATTTGCTTGCATCCATGTGTCCACTGCCTGCAAGCTGATCAGCACATTCACAGAACACCGATTGGATTGTGTTGTTTTTGAGCACGCTGTTCTTGGCAAAATCCCTACCAATCACAGAAGCCGATGCACAAAAAGAAAGGCCAGCAAGCACAGCCAACACTGAATTTGGCTTCCACTGCATTCAGGTACATGCAAACCTACCCACAACCACTTGTTTGGTGCAGATGAAAAGGTGGTCCTGAGGTGTCCTCTTGATGCTTACACCACGATGCAGGGTGACAACAAACAGCAGGGATGAAAACAACAAATATCGTCAGCTCTGGATACCCAACAAGCCAAATTATGCAGCAGTGTTGGGAATCCAATGGCACAATGCACATGATTCATTGTCTTGAAGTTTGATGAAATAGAGTGCAAGATGGATCCCTCTTGCACCCTATTTCGAATCACTGGGATCCCACAAATTTAGTGTGTCTTGCTGATTGCAACGTCCAGGTGATCGAAGATCCAAACCTTTTAAAGCAATATACTCCAAAGATTGGATTTCTCACAATCTTGACATTTGGCAGTTCATGGTGGCTTTTGCTGGGGAGAAGGTCCCAAAAGCTAGAGCCGACTTCTTGTTCAACAATCATCTGTCAAAAACACAGCGCCCAGCACACCTTTTGAAAGTGTGTGGAAGCCTCGCACAGCATCCGGTCGATCGCAGCCTTGGCCTCAGCAATTTTCTTATCACGAAAATTGGAAAACCAAGACTTAACATTTTCCTCAAACCGAGCCTCATGGGCACTCCTGATATCTTCATCGCCAACAGCGTGTTCATTGAAAACTTTCCTTGCCTCAGCCAATGCTCTCTGTGAACATGCCAGCCCCACTGTTAGTGCTCAAAAAACAGCCATGCCAGCAGGCTGCAAACATTGGTTCATGAAAAGCTGTGAACAAGCAGTTGTTGGCAGATGTCACATACTGTGCAGCGCGTTTTGCACTGGCCACCCTTGCTCACAGCTGTGCAGAGCATATCATCCAAAGCTGGGAGTGCATCTGTTCATATATTTCACAAGATCTACACACTGTCAATGAGGTCTCCAAGTGCATGTGCTGCACAAGATGTGTGGTCGTTGGGGTTTGCTTCTCAAGCATCATTGGTTGCACACTGATGTGTAAGGGATGTTATGTGGAGTCCAGCATTGAGGAAACCATAAAGGTACCACAAGGCAGCAAAACAAGCAAACGACAGCCATTGAGTCAAAGGAAACCACCGCAACATGTTTCGCACCTCATGCTCAGCAGCCATCTCAATTTCTTCAGGTGGCACATTGCTATTGAAAGCTTTCCTGTAGTGTGCCTCAGCAAGGTCCCTTGCCCTGTGGCACTCACCGTCTGCAACAGCCTGGTAGTACAACACCAAACAACCTTACACAAGCATGCTTCCACAAAGACCTGGCCATCGCCATCAAACAGCTAAGAACTTTGGGCCAATGTAGTTGTCATATGGCGGGGTTGGCGCTGGTCATAAAGTAAACCCTAAAGGTAAACAAAACAACAGCTGAGCAGTCAACACACAGAGAGCACAAGACAGACCTGCCAAGCAGTAACGATTGTTGGCACCGCCCCATTGTTGATCGCCCTCACATATGCTTCTGTCAAGCCAGCCAATGCAGGGCCCGTAATGACTTGCTGACCAACACGCTTGGGCACAGCACGGGAAAATATAACATCCATCAGCCTTCTAAGCTCCTGCAAGTTTGGAACAGGCCAAGTCAGCAACCAGATAGCAGCAAACTTAGCATAAACTGCAGGGATGCTTATGCATGAAAACAGCACGGCACCCTGGCACCAATACAGCTACCCATCTTACTCACCCTTGTGAACTCTGGCCTGAGTTGTGACTGAGGTACATTCTCCAGATTCTTGAGCTGCTGTTCATCACTGACTGGCCTCACCAGTGCGCAACAATCCCTTTGTGGGAACAACGTTTTTATTGATCTCCGAATCTGAATGCATTCACCACACATCAGGTCAATGGGGTGCATTCTGTTGACACAAAGGAAACATTTCCCAGCATGATAGGCCTCCATCTCTTGCCTTTACAACACAAGGATGCGATTTCTGTGCAAATGGGGGAAGCATTGGCTGCAGATGCAAGTTTTACCTTGTTCTTCATTTCAACAGCAGGCCCAGAACCTGTTGCTGGCAGCAGCGCTTGCTCCAAATAGTCTTTTGGTGAGATCTGCATGGACATGGGCATCAACAGGCAACTCACACAAGTTGACCACAAGAGACTGATGAACAACTGCATGACAAATAACTCAAGGTTAAAAATACAGATCAACTACATGTTAATCAATGCCAACAAACAAGTGTTTGGTTGCTGCAGACCCACATGAACACCAAACAGCAGTGCATCACACAAACAAACAGCTGCGCAACCAGTTTGCCTTCTATTTGTTCAATGGCGACAAAGCAAGAAAGCAAAAAATTCCAATAAGCAATCGGTGGGTATCAAGCTAACTCCTCCCTTTTGTCCATACTCATCGTCCCAGCCCCAAATACTGCAGATGCTGCAACATTAATGCACCAATACAACGGCCACAATCACTGGCAACAGAAGCGATCAAAAATGAAGATGTGGAACACCACATATCTCAACAAGTTGCCTGCCCTTCAGGAATGGCTTTGTTCGCTCTTCTCCTTTGTGCCCATTTGTGCCCACCCACCTTCCGACCATCTTCCTCAAGATCAAGATAGAAATCACGCAACAGCCACAAAAAAGCAGGAGTGAAGCCTCCAATATCTCTGTCGCTTGAGGCTGATGGGGCACAATACACAGTAGGCTGCTGTGATCAATCACGCATTCAAGAATGGGACTACCCTTATCCTTTCCAAAAAGGATAGCAACTCAAGGGGTATGCATGCACCAAAAGGTGAAAGGAATATGACTAGCAGCACCCGGGGGCAGCTCATGGCATTGCCAATAGCTGAGAAACCCACCTTGTGATCGGACTCTGATGAGATTGGTCATCTCTGTCACAAGCGACAGCTTGTCAAGGGCTGCCTCGTCAATCCCACCCATATGATTGTACACAAAGAGGCTGGAAAGGAGGACTGCCAATGAAAATATTTGAGTGCTGTAATGTCCTGTCTGGGTCACAGCACACATCTTTTAGAAGAAGAGTGACAGCTCAGCCAGGTATGACAGTACAGCACGTCATAAATGCAAGGAACCACAGCTTCCAGCAAGTCACTGCACACTCTGCTCAATATGTTGGATTCCATTGCATGGCGAATGTGAGCACTTTGTGCACCTTCCTGCCTAGTGGTTTCAACATGATTTCCCCACCGCTAATGCAAGACAGGTTCCTTGCCAACACCAGGGCCAGGTTTATCTCTGTGTGGTAGCAGGCCTCCAAACTGTCGTGCAGCACACCTGGTCATATGCATCAATGCCCTCCGAGTCCAGCAGGATCTGCAGACAGAAAGCAGCCAACTACCTGAGACATAGCAGGAACATCCAAGACGTCTTATCCACCACTCCTTACACGCCGGCGCCTTCCCGATGTCGACTGAGACTGAGGCTGAGGGCCCACGCCCGTTGTGTGTGTGAAACGGCCGAGAAACAGCACATAAACGCACGACAAAATCAACCAGAAGTCATCAAAGCATGCTTGCCCTGCAGAGATCTCTGCTCGGCTGCACCACCAATGATGCTGGCCTGCCGTGGGTTCAGACGGTGTTCCCCCCGTGTACTGCCAGGCATGGCACCCTCCACAACACGCATGATGCGTCCCGGGAATCTACATATCGCCCGCCCACCAGGTGGTACACGCTCCCGTCGGGCGCCCTCCTCTGTATCGGCTTGGACCACATCCAGATGCCCTTCGTGCACGGCCGCTGCGTGGGCGACACCTTGAAGCCTGACGTGCGGCCCAGCAGCTGGTTCAGAATGTATGACTTGCCCTGCCTGGCCCGCCCGCACACCGCCACCACGCCCACGGGGCCCCGCACCGCCCTCAGGGCGTCCAGCGCCGGCCGGCCCACCACGAACTTGTTGGACTGCGCCTCGAAGCGCACGAGCTCCAGGGGGCTCTCCGTCCCCATCCCTCCTTCCAAGGCAAGAAAAGAGGTCCCCAAGGCGCAGGGCCAAGCAGTTGAACGCGACACACGCGCGTCAGGGGGGCGAGTGAGCGTGGCGGTGCTCTGGATGCCCGGTCCGGGAGACAGACCTCCGATGGCGCGCTGTTGCTGTAAGCCCGCCAGTCGGTGCGGGGCGCGGCGAAGGCCTGCGAATGGGCCCCAGGCAACCGCCATGTGCGGCTACAGGATCGTATGAAGGTTTTGGATATGGTTGACAGTACATGCGGTGACAGACGATACATACACACATGCACAAGATGGTATGCACATATACGATACGGGGTTGGCGACACACAGGCAAGCGGCCTGTTGTATGGCAGGTGGACAGAATGCGGTTTGGTTGACGCTGTGGGAGGAGGAAAGGGGGCAGCCATGGGCGCCCGCAGCCTCGACTGATGCGCGGAGGCCCTCACGCCCGGTTGGTGCGCGGGACTGGACCTGGCCGCGTGTCGTGCGTGCCGGCAAGCCAGCCGCGTTCTCTTGAAATTTGAACCGCATGGTGAGCTCCTGCCCGCAAGGCCCATGCCGCCTTGTGTCGTACGATTGCTGTCAAGGTGTGCTGCCCACCCTTGGCCGACTGTCTTGGCCGAGCCGTAAAAGGACGCGCTGAATGTAGTTTTGGCAGAGTATTTGCAGCCGCCTTGGCTGTCGGAAAAGATTGCTCTTGAGCCACGTGTGCTGATCTCGCTTGGCCAGCGGCGGAACGCCAGCAGCCCACGTGCCATATACCCTTTAACCTGGTGCTTGGAGTTCAGTGCTGTAGCCCCATGGCGAATATGTCTGTCGACAGCGCATGTAACAATTCCAACCTGGCTCTCTGGTGGGAACCGCTGACTGTTGTTGCCCAACCTTGCCGTCAGTTGTGTTTTTCTTGAGCACCAGAGACACGGAGTGCGGCCTGCTTGTCAGCGTCAGTGCCGTTCCATCGGCAGACAAGCAGAGGAGCGAGCCAGAAAACGTGCCGATTTCAAATGTTTGATAACTACAGAGGCAGCAGAGTGTGCGAATCAGCAACCAGTGGCTGCTAGGCATATACTGAATCACTGGTAGTTTAGTTTGCGCCCTTCCCTTGCGCTTCTTTCGCATGCCCTGTCTATGGACTGGTTCCCAGGTTCTGGCTGCGAAATCCTTGATATCCTGTGGTGCTGTGTGCAGCTCTCTGATTGGCACTGCGCTGGAGTTGTGATTGCGCTTCTTGGTAATGCCTCACTGGAAGACTGGGATGAACGGAGGATCGCAGCAGTCTTATTTCTTTTGTAAAGATATTGCTGTCCTTGTCACAGCTATCCTTGCAGGCAATGCCACTGGCTTCCCATCAGTGGGCAGGTCTTTCTTTTGTCAGCATGCTGGTTAAACAACTCAACTGGTGTGTTGTGTGTCCAGTCTCAAACTTGGCCTTGCTTCTACTTTTGCTGCTGAAGCTGCGTCCAAGCTCTGACTCCAAGAAGGCTGAAGAACAGCATCCTTCAAGGGTAAGGCACTGGACTCTGGCTTGCCATCTTTCAACTTTCGCTTTGACGGGGCTGCCTAGCCAGGGGGGGTTGTTGAACGATTCCCAGGCAAGCCGCTCTGTTTGCCAAGCTTTTGCAATTTCCGAACTCGTCGGATAAACCAACAGCTGTTCAACACCATCCAGCTGTATACTCAGTCATGGCCCTGTCGCTCTGCAGTTACATTGAAATAGAGAATGATCTGGAGTGACCCAGACTTGCTGAGGTCTGACAAACGGAGATCAGCTGTGTTTTGTTTGTCTTCAAATGTTGCAACCAAGAGAATCAGATTCCCGTTGCTTGTGTGTGGCACCTTTGACAATTGCAGCACAGAAATCACAGCCAGAAAGACAACCAGCCGAATGGCTGGTTGAATGCCCTCCAGCAATTCGTTCCTGGTTTGCAACCACTGGTATTGTTGGCACTGCAGAGCATGTATTACATGGGCCAGTGGTATCACAAGAAACTATTTTCACAGTTCATTGTGCGGATGTGCAGACAGGTATTAACACGTTGCAATGACAACAGGCACATTTGAGACGTTGAGGGTTGGTGTCTTTGAGTTGATGTTGGTGGTTGTCAGCTCTGTCGATGTGTTGATGCACATTGTAAGGCAATGTCAATTCTGCTTGTTTGGTGCCTTGGCATTGGGATTGCTGCAGCATTGTGAAGTTGCACTACAGCATGCGGCTTGATCCCCGCATGGAGAACTGTTATCTTTTGTCATGAAATGTCATCCTGAAAACAGGGGAGTGTTCCTGGCAGTCAAGAATATGGCCAGCATAAAGATGATGGTATTGTCTCGACAACAACATAGTGTCATGGAAAAAGCCAGAATTCCCCTGTTTGCAGACAAAGATAGTAGCCATGCGTTCATTTGCATGCAAGCCATGGAGCCACCTGGCACAAAGGGATTTTGAGCTGAAATTGCTGCACGTAATGTTCCCTGGCTTGCCTTGTGGGCTCAGTTCCACCAATTGACAAATTTGCTGTTCCTCTTCAGAGAGTATAGCAGGATTTTGCAAACTAAATCCATTTTGCCAACAGAAGTGGTCAATTTGCATTTGCTGCATGCAGGTGCTTGCCAGGACAGACGTGGACAATGTAACTGAGCAATTTCGACAACTGAGGATTACTCAGGCGCACAGGCGCAAGGTGCTTTGTACCCACATAAGCTATTCCTGACTTTGGAAATTGCCAGCATTTCGTGGAAAGACTGAGTGCTGATGCCAGACAAGCCAGACAACGCACCTGCCCCTGAAGGGGCGCAAATGGTTTGCTAGGACACATTGATACTGCTTGCTGACAAAACTATGGCTGCAGTGATGGTGATGTCAGCTGCCAGGCATGCACATGCTGTGTGGTTTCTTAGAAGTTGGTGGCTGTTGGAAAACCCAAGTTGGAAATGTTAATATCAGCTTTGTTGACAATTGGCGCCAGTGTGATGCAGCATGTTTCTGAATGATGTAAAGACAGCAAAGGGCAAAAACTTAAAATCCCTCATCACCTTACTGAGACAGCCATTGCTGCACTGTTTTGGAGGCAATTAACGCTTTGATGGTGTTGTGAGCTTAACCCTTTGTTGCCGCTGCTGCCACCAGGTCTTCCAGTACCATACACATCATGGATATCAAGCCGGCCAGTTGGTGCATGCATGTGAGAACTGGCAATGGTCAAGCTCGGTGTACTGGTAGCACTGCCTTGCACTGGACGCGCCTGTTGAGGCTGGTATTCGTTACCTTGGGGAACGGAGTGAACCCATGCTCTCTGCTGTGTGTGATCAGTTTTTTGTACTGCTGCAGTGCAATGAATATGAGTACGCAATCGGGATGTCTTCAGTGCATTGGTTTCGCTGTCATTGACCAGAAGACTGCACTGATGCTGAACAGTTGATTGTGCCATTCTCAACAAGCGGAAGTTGGCAGTATATTGAGGACAACCACTAGTTGGCAGTGGTGGCTGCAGATGTCCCCAAAGGGGGGTGGAGGCAACTGAGTACAGGGACAAGAAACAACCAGAGCTGTGCAGATTGATGCTGCAGTACACACGCAGGCAGACAGGCTGGCAAGTTGGATCCAAAGAGCTCAGCGTCCTGGTAACACCAAAGTATTAAGGAGCAGATCATGTGTCACATGACGGTACCCCGATGGCCTCCTGGGACTGATTGTGGCGACTTCCACACAAGGGGCATGATATCCTGGCCTTGAGTTTCATGTGGTGGACGCGGAGTCGGTCCCAATACAACATCTTTCCAGATTGCCCTCTGCCCTGGCGAAATGCTCTGAAATGGCCCACTATGGTAGTGTGTGCCAACGGGCCCCATCCCTGTCAAAGCACATTCCGGTCGTCCCTCTTGTACAACTGAATGTGTCCGCTATTTGAGGGGGGATTTGAATGATAATGAAATACGAGTGTTGGCAACTCCGTTCTGAGCACACGCACACCGTACTTCCAGACCTTTCGTACCCACCCTTTGAGAAGGCTGTTGGCTGCTATCGTGTCACTCTGTCGTGGCGCATTGTTGTCCTCTTTTGTCAACGCACACAGCGTTTTTGTATGCATCCGCAGCAGGCCACCGTTGCCTGATAGCATTCATAATAATTCGTTCTGCCATCTTTCAAATGGAGAAAATGAAGACGGGGCGTCAGCAACCAGCATTATTGTTGAAGAAATGGCAGATCGCTGGTTGGTTGGAGATGATGTCAAATTGATCATGGCCAGTACGGGTTATGATTATGCCGTCCATCGCGCGCATGCAATCACATAAGGGCACGACGTTGTGACTGTATGTGATCACATCCACGACATGGGGAGCACAATTGGTATAATCCAGATGGCGGAACTCCACGCCTTTACCCACTGAACCGTGGCGTGATTGCGCACTATTCCTTGCACCATAGGCTGAATCAATACAACATAGGGAACAGAGCATTCCCATTGTACCCGTAGTACATGGCGATACACTTGCTGATCACCTGGTACGCATTCTCACCACCCCACCGGTAAGTGAGCCTCATTTAGTGATGCAGCAATCATGATGATCGACTGCACACAGCCATGATCAGTCGTTCACATCATGGCACGCCAGCCCCAGTTGATCAGCCACTTCGTGCACCTGCCGTTTCCGTGTCCGTGCGCCGGACGCTGCAATGATAACTAGCGTCTCCAACAGAGGGGCCGTTGACACTCGCTCTCCTACATTGTGATGAAACGATCGGCATGCATGCTACACTTGCAACCGAAAAACGGATCAATGCGGATCCCCACCACCGGCTCAATCCCGTGATGTTTAGCACATTGTCACGTGCAGCTGGTGCAACTCTAAAATCTCCAAGCCGAATCGACTTTTTCCTTATGGTTCATTCCGTTATCCCACAAAGGGTGATCTGGGTCTTCCAACCAGCAAGCCGTTTCTCTGAAGGTGCCTTTGCAACGCAGTTGCTGTGGGCACATGCTCATTCGAGGACATGGCGCACATGTGGCGCTGGCTGCCAACGCCTGTGTCGCCACAAAAGCAAGGGCGCCTACATCAGGCATCAAATGACATAACTATGGCTGGGTTGGCGCGCTGGCGCCCGCTAGTGGTCACAGCAATCACCGGCCACACTGGTGCGCCCTTGCTGCCGGCCGTTGGCACACACCCCAGCAATTGGTGCCCGGGGCGTGTACCAACACCAGGCAGCAGAGCCGCTAAAAAGGGGCCGCGGTTCCATCACTGTTCACAGAGGCTGTGGGCACACGCTGTGGCGGTGCTGCTGTGGCGGCGCCCACACGTAGCGACAAAGGCCATGTTGGCTGTAAATGTGATGGCCTCTGTGCCCCTATCGGCAAACTCAGGCTGCAGGATTTCCCGCCGAGTGTGGAAATAATCGAAGCAAACTTTTGCCGCGCTATGTGCCCCCACACAGGCTCACCAGCACGATAAGCATAGGATGGCCACACAGCCCCTACTTGCTCAGTTCTTAACGAATTTGAGCCTTTCAATGGGCTAGAAGCATCAAGATGACTTAAACAACCCTAAAGACTTTGAATTTCCCTACTGAGCTAAAAATAATATGTGCGAGACAATATGGCTCACCCTCAAGGATTCCACAACGATGTCCCAATTTAAAGTTGTGACATTGTTGTGGGACTCCTTGGGGATGAGCAAGAATGTAAAGCAATGCAAATGGCAATATAAACTGAGCCATCATGGTCTCCAATGTACTGGCCCTTACCGTGGCCACCACTCAACCACTACCAAGCTAACGTAGACGCTCCAAACACCGCTAGAATCATTTGTATTACATTTGTAATGTATTACATTAAATGTATTCGAGTTAAGTCGGAACAAGACAATGGGACTTCTGCCCCCCACCTATTCCACAACATTTTCCATTTGTAGTAATGAGAGCCGCTATGTGAATGGTGTAACAGGTGTGAGGTTGCGAGCGTTCACTTCTGGCTGATTTTGTCACAAGTATGGCGTCCAATTGTTGACGTGCCATTTTTATAGAACCCCAACGGCAGAATCCTTATATTTTATCTAGGGTATTTTGTGTCCTTGTTCACGTGGCCTTGTCAATTTGCGATACTGAAGCAGGCGCACGCAGCCATCTACCATACCCTGTGGAATCGGCACTCACAACGCGAGTACCCTGCTTTGAGTCGACACAGATCTTACAATTTGACGATCGCTGGCTATGCATGGCTTTTAGACTTCTTATCAGGCCGTACAACGCCATCTTGGCGTGATCCCTGGGCAGTGCATTTCTCCGTATCACTGTGTGCACATGCCTGTGCAGTTTATTGTGCCCGTGCAGGCCAAATTCAAGTTGCCATGCGCCTGTACGGCTCGGAATCGTATGTGGCCGTTCACCAACCTCATCGCAGGCTGCGCAACGCTTTTTCAACTCGGCATGGCAACAATGCTCCCGTCAGGAACCCACACGGCCTGTTCGGCTGATTTCTGTCGGAGCAGGCAGTGGGAGAACCCCCTACTCACAAATAGGACCCGTCCACCCAGTAAAACGGTGGTCATTATCTGGCGCCATGAACAACGGTTTAATTCGGGCACCGCTGTCCGTCTCACAAGAAGGGCATTGGAGCCTGCACATTCCACTGGGTTCAAAGGCTTTAGCAGTCGGAGGTTGATAAGGTGCAACCCATCACACCCGCAAGCGCGAGTATTTGCTCGTGGCCGTGCTCAGCGGTGCTCCATTCATGGTACTTCAGACACAGACCAACAAGAGCAACCAAAATGCTGCAAAACTGCTTTTCACTGCGCACACAGAACCACAGCCCTTGTTCGTGGTGGTTCGCTGGCCAGCGCGGGGGGGCAGCAAACCGCGCTGCTTAGCGCCTGTCCATGGCTTTGCGGAGTATTCCGCCCCCCTGGGAGCTGAACGCCGTCGACTTGCTGACCTGCTGACCTGCAGGAGTGATAGTTGCCACCGCGATGCCCTTTCACAACTGTTCGCCTTACCTGGGGCGCCAAACTGGGGCGTCCAGTGACAGTAAGCCCACAGAAACTGCCTCCCGGTGCAGCATGTCGCATTGATACATTATCTGTCTACCGACGTCTGCACCATTTTTTCAGTCGGCCATTCAGTGGCGTTCGAACTGACAGCTTCGTGCACCCAACGCCGCTCTGGCCGGGGCGCGCGCACTGCAGCGATGCCGTCTTCCATGCTTCCTTTCCCGTCGTGCCGATTAGGACCGCGTTGGCAGCTTGGAGGTGCAAAAAGTTGCTCATGCTGTACGTTGCCGCGGAACGCCTTACTCAATGGGTCAATGGGGACAGGGGGTATGGAAGTCGGGACCTTCGCCTGCTGGCAACCGCGTCGGGGAGGCTTCTATACCAGTGCGAAGAGCAGGGTCGCACACAGGTGGGCATTGAATCGACGTTCACCGGTTGACGAAGCTACTCTTACGTCCGCAGAACAGCCAACGGGTTTTTGCGCAGACGCATGAAATCCTCGTTGTGGCCACGGCCTTAGCAGTCATTCGACCCCCGTCAGAAACATCCACAAATGACTGTAGGACTAGCGTGAAGGACAATGGCTATCGCGGTCGTGCCCAGCAGCAAGCACAGTCGCCAGTTCCATGTGCAGGACGAACCCTGGAAAAAGCGAAAACAGTGAAAAAAAGTGAAAAAATTGCAAAAAGTGAATCCTGTACCACAGCAGTGGATCATTGCATGGCATTCTGCTTGCCCTTGGGGACCAAGACTGAGAGACCAACAGAGGGGAAGCATCCATAGGCATTCCTCTGCTTTCTGTGGACCTTCCTGTATGGAAGAAAAATTGTTTGGTACAAATTGTGGGCAATGTGTCACCCAATCGTCACCCAAATTGTGGGCAATGTGTCACCCAACACCCGTTCGAAAGGCAATGCAGGGCACTTTGGGCTGGTTCAGTGGTTGGGATACTTTGTGTTCGACTTCGCTTCAATTCCATGTTGCAAAGTGTTTGGGATTTGCATTGACTATGCTCCTGACAGTCTCATTGGCTGCATTAGCTGGGACTTGCATTCGAAAAGCATCCAATCTCAGCCAAAACAGTTCGTATCGCTGCTGTTAGCGCTGTGCTGTGCATTGCTGTCTGTCAATTGCTCCCCACAGCAGGTCCCCCCATGCTTGTTTCCCAAAGAAAAACCCAGCTCAGAAGAGCTACCTGCTCTGATTGGGATGGTTTGGCTAGTGTTATGTGATTCCTTTGCACTTGCTGTGTGCAAGACAAGAACGATGGACTTGCAACTTTTCAGCCTGATGTTGCTGTTAGGCCACACTGTGGAGTCCAAGCTATGGGCAATGGAGCACGGATACCTGAGGATCAAGATGACAACTTTATGGCAAGGCAATGCCGCTCAGCTGCGGCTGCTGTTGTTGCCTTTGGCATGTTTGTGGCTCCCTACATTGGAACCGATGCAACTATGTTTGAAGCATCTGCAGCTTATCTTGCTGGGGAGGAGCGCCGAACAGTGGATCTCTTCAAGAAGAACACGCCGGCTGTTGTCAATGTTACCAACCTAGGCATGAGGTATACATATATTGTTTGAACGAATCCACACGTAAGGTCATTGTTGCTGGAGCTTGCACCACATCGTCTAATTCTTTTGGTAGTGGCAAACCTGCACTGTGCATCTGGGGGACGCCATAATTCCAGTTGTGAATATCTGTAAGGAATCTGCTTTTCACTTGGAGCGATGGGCTACAGCCAAAATTTGAGCAGCATACTCTGCCTTGTAGAACCTTGTAGCTGTTCGTGTCTCTTATTCAGACCTTGAGTTCGTGTTGGAGAAGAGCAGATTATCCGATTCGTGCATTGATTGCCATCTGTTCTTGTATGGAATCGAACCCATGAATCCATGAGCAGTTTTTTATGTGTGTGGTTCCCCTTGTGGCTGCATCTGCGCAAGCGGCTACTAACAACAGCATCAACATATTGCAATTATTTGTTGCCCAGCAGTCCCATCCGGATGTGGTGAGTCAGTGCCAGCCAACACACAGTTGTTGGGACATGTTCTGGGTGACATGCTGGCTCTTGTTGGCATTTGTGAGGTGCTTCCTTGCATTCCTGCACATGCTGCTACCTTTGCAGCACTCTCTGTCATGTTGTTGTACGCATGCCTGACCCTGTGGGCTAGGGAGAATTGCGCCACAACAGCGTCGGCTCGATGTCCTTCCTGGTTCTGGTGTGTTCTGGAACTGGGCAAATTTGAGACCAGTGCATCTGTATTTTCTATCTTGTTCTGCTGCAACATGAGAAGCACATCTTGCACCATGGTTGGGCTGCCACAATGCGTCCCCATTGCCATTCCAAATCCGGTGCTTTTGCTCAGCCACAGTTGGTACCAGTGTGCGTATGTGTGCATATGTGGCTCGACGAAACTGGAGAATATCTCATCAGAGTCCATCAGAATAAACTGGAGAATATGTCAATTCATGCGTTTTTGGATGCCCAGACAGGACGCTCTCACACTTGACATCCTGGAGATCCCACAAGGAGCAGGCTCAGGGTTCGTTTGGGACAAAGATGGCCATGTGGTCACAAACTACCATGTCATTCGAGATGCAATAGATGTTCAGGTAATAAGGGCAGAAAAGTGATGCGTCGCCCTGTTTTGTCCTCTGTAACTGTTGTTGGGTGATCGCGTGATTGTTGAATTGGTTATTCGTGTTGCTGTTGACCATCTGTTTGTTGCGGTGTGCCACTGATGTGCAGGTGACATTGAGCAATGGCAAACAGTACATGGCCAGAGTGGTTGGCATCGACAGGGAGAAAGACATAACGGTCCTCAAACTAAATGATGCAGACTTGGTGAGCTGAATAGTGCAACCACGTTGCTGGGGGATGGACTGTAGTGGGGTAGCTGGGTGGACTTGCCAGTGCGCGGCAAATGTGTTATTTGTTGGATCCCTGACAGCAAGCTGTGAAGGGTTATTCATTTGTGTGTCTACATCATGTTTCATCATTCGATCCAGCATTGTTGCAGCTGCAGGCATTATACAGCATCAAAATACCTTTGCATTCCAAGAACAATGAACTCTCCACTTCCGTGTTCTTGATTGGGTCAATGTGATAAATTTGCTATCGTGTCCTAAGACCATACTTCAACATGCTTCCTTTGCGAAGTAGCAGAGTTCCACAACAGAAGTCTAGAATATGATGCGAAATTCATAATCCTACGATATCTGACTGCCCTGGTCAAGGTTTGGATGCATGTGTGCCAGAAGTGCTGGACTGATTGCTGTCATGGCCCTGAGTGCGAATCTTGTGTAGGCGGTAACAGCTGTGTATCTTGTTGTCCTCTTTCATTGTTGGCGCATGATAAAGCATGTTGATTGTGACCTCAATGCAGCACAGAACTGGAATCTGGCACGAATGCAGATTGATGGGATCGGCTTAGTGATTCGGCTGTTGTTTGCAGACTGGTGTAAATCCAGTAACTGTGGGGAGCTCAGCAGACTTGGAAGTTGGGCAGAAGGTGTACGCCATTGGCAACCCTTTTGGTCTCGATCACACACTGACCACAGGTGTTATAAGCGGCACAGGAAGAGAAATTGGCTCAGGGGTAGCTGACAGGCCTTTGCAGGTGGGTAAGAGGACATGGAAACACAGAATGAAGACACAAGACATATATCACCACCCATGGCACTGGCCCAGTTGTGGCATTTCAGTTTGACATGCGGGTGTTGAAGGGTTGCAGGGATTCATGATCAACTGCAAGGAAGCAGCCACAGCATTGTATGTCATCTTTGCATTCATTTGTTTAATTTTGATTCAGTCCATGTAAATGTCAACCTGAAATGGCCAATCCTGAGGATTTCTGCCAGGTGTCAAGAATACACACCTTGTCTAATGTGCTTAGTTGTCATTGTGCACACAAATGTAAAGTGGCAGAAGGGCACTGTTTGGGAGACCTTCCCATTTCTGGATGATATGCTATCATGTGCTGAAGAGCATGAAGATGCTGACTGGCATATGGCTGCAACACATGAGCTTGCACCATGCCAGTTTTGGGAGTATGCCAGCCATATCCCTGTCATCTCTGGCTGAGCGTTGTATTTCTAATTGCGCGGTATATTGTTATGGCACAGTAAGTGCACCATACAAAGTCGGTTTCCCTTTTCCACCGACGAATTGCTGTACCTGTGAATTGTGGACCAGGATGTTATTCAAACGGATGCTGCAATCAATCCTGGAAACTCGGGGGGTCCACTACTGGACAGTAGGGGCAGCCTCATTGGTGTGAACACCGCAATCTACTCGCCATCTGGTGCGAACAGCGGAGTGGGATTTGCAATCCCAGTGGATGTTGTGAAATCGAGCGTGGACCAGATAATCAAATACGGGAAAGTCATTCGACCCTTCCTTGGAATATCGTTTGCCACAGACCACTCCATCGACCAGCTTGGCGTGCAAGGGATCCTTGTTCTTAAGACCAGACAGGGAGGGCCTGCCGACAAGGCAGGGATCCGAGGCACCTCACGGGATGATCTTGGTAGGCTGTCATTAGGGGACATCATCATTTCAATGGACGGCTCTAAGGTCAGAACCGCAACAGATTTGTATCGGGTACTTGACAAATGCTCTGTGGGGGACACGTTGGACGTTGAGGTGCTGAGGCAGGACTCTCAGGAGCACCTTAGCATCGTCCTAGAGGGTGACTGATCTGCACTATCTTTGCATCCACAGACAGACACATGCAGTCCCTGTGTCTTGGTGTGTCCAATGTGTGGATGTGTGACTTCAGCGCTCACGATTGGGGACACTTGCAATGGCGGGAGGCAGCCATTGATTCTTTGCTCCTCGCCATTGCTGCATGGAGAGCACAATTTTTTTGCTGAGTGTCGTTGTACTTGTATGGGCTATATTGCGAGGCAATGATTGTCAGAGTGTGCTCATTTGTGAGTGTACGGCAGGGTGGTGAGTGGCAGATATGATTCACCATTGACAACTCCCCTGGAGGAGAGTGTACATGTATTTTTCTTGTGTATGTGTACATTGTTGTTGTGAGTCAGAATGCAGGGGTTTGCACAATTTCTAAGCCCCTTGTCTCGGTCACTTGCAATACTCCAACTATGACTACCATTATATTTACGCCCGACTTTGACTTGCCTACAATGCTAAGAGACACTCCATATGTGTGTGTATATGTGTGTCGAGATGTGTTTTAGGAAAACCCGGACACAGGTCATACAATGGAGCACCCCCTCTTAAAACAAGCATGTGGTGGGCCCTGTCAGCTTTGCTGTAGGTGCCAAGAATGAAATCGAAAGCTTGATGCATGCACCGAAGCATCAATAATATACTCTTAAGATGTTCGCAAGTTGTCATTACTTGTGCATCAAAGTAGTGTAAGCACACAACATGTTGCCCATCGACAATCAATCAAGATAGAACAGTCCCAAGCTTGTCATCGCTTCTTCATCGTAGCAGCATGAGGGCGTGGCACGTCATCTATCAGCAATTTAAAAGGACAGAACAGGGATGGCTACAAAAGAATGTGATTTCCACGTTCACATTCCGTTCGGGCTCAACAATCAACGAAACATGAATGACACGTTTACGTTTTGAACTTCCAGATGTACCACTCATATTCGTGTTTCGATTCTGGAAGCCCAAACGTATTGTACACGTTTGCGTGCACGTTTTGATTACTCGAGCGTTGAGTTCATGCTTACATTCTTGTTCTAAAAGGTCAAACGTATGGCAGACATTTAGTTTGTTGTTCACTGCCACCGGCGGCCCCCCAGACCACAAATGTGTAGGGGAGCCAAGCAAGGTGATATGATTAGGGTTTTCAAGGACTGGATGCCGCGTTAACATTGAGACAAGTGTAGTAGAGGATGGCAATGTTTCCGGTCGTGATATATAAGGGCTAGGTGACCCAGCCTAGTGTTCATTGTTGTGGACGTAGGGGTGCACACTAGGAGGGTGGCACCCTGGGGCCACACTCAGGACTCGGCACAAGCGAGGAAAGAAGCAGATTGGCAGATGAAAATTAACAATTGAAGGTAGGTTGTGTTCGATTACAGCTCAATCTATTCAATTTAATGGCCATCGCTGTAATCGAGTAAAAGATGGTGGGAAAGAGTACGGACATAGTCAGCCAGTTTTCCCTTGAAACGTACTAAGATGGCTGATTTTGATAGTCCTGTCACTGCTCCGTACTCAAGCAAAAACATGTGCGCAGTCAGCTACATTCCAGTACGGTTAACTCAAAGCGGTCTAGGCTTAGATGTCCCCTATTCTGTGAATCTGTGATTGGGATAATCAGAGCCAGCCCAACCTGTGTAGTTTGGGTCATTTTAAGGCCAGTCGATGGGCAGCACGGTCATCTACGGCTGCGCTGTCATTTTGCCAAGGAAAAGGGCAGTAACTAGTTTGGTTGGACCCCTAGGTTGACGGGATGCAATACAGTTTTGAGTCACTCATTTCCAGCACACAGAATTGAGGCTATAGGTACATCAGACGGAAAGAAAGGGGCCGTAGTGTGTACAGGCCCGATGGAAAGCACCCTTGAAAAAAGGCTGGTCTGTTCGTAGGGAGCTCTTGGGTGACTTTCGCAGAGAAAGAAGGCCAAATTCTGGCCCCTTTTGAGGACGCCATGGACCGTAGGGGTTGTCATTCAACGGACCTGGACTTTTTCAAAAGGTCCTAAGACCTTCACAGGACAGGTACTGACAGGATGTAAGGGTTCAGTGAGTCGTGATGGGACATGGTGTGCGGCTGCTGACAATACTTTGTTGCTTACCAACTGTATGGGAAACTGCCCTTTGGTAATTTTTGTATTGTACTGCGTCGTACACGTTCGTCACATCCCCGCATCCTGCGCCCACAAGGCCTCCGCGCCCCGCGACCTGCGACTGGTCCGAACGGACGACGTGCCGTTTTCACAAAAGCATATTGAAGAATGGGTGACAGAGGCTGCCGGATTGGGTCCCGGCAGCGTCGCACAACGGGGAGTTTGGCGAGGGGGCGATGGCGGGGCCCAGCCACATCCCCACTCGATGGATGGCGCCCATCCCACGACAAGGCGAGGTGCATCCAGACCTGGCCGCACGAAGAACGCGCGAGCTGGGCACGCCCTCGTCCCGAGTGAGGCAGCCTTTCTCGTCAAGCAGGGCTGCGAGGCGGGGGCCGGTGGAGCTTTGGCATGGGGCGCCATCCGCGGCTCCGGCCTCTCTAACCGATGGATCTTCGGGGCCGTGGACTCGACCGCGGCTTGGCGAGCGGCGGACGAGGGGGAGGGAACGTTCGCGTTCACTCTACGCTGTGGGGACGGAAACGAGGCAGAGTGCTGGCAGCTGTCCAGTGGCGTCTTTGCCGCCTGCAATTTGACTATCCAGTGGATCGGAAGGAAGTTTCTGGTGAACGACCAGTGCGCGACGATGGCAAAGCTGCGTGGAGTCTTTTGAAGTGCTGGCGGCTTGCTGAACGAAGTTTCAGGAGCTGTGAAAGGCGGCGAAGGGAGTCGCCTCGTTGACCGGTGATGAATTACCGCTGCTAGGCAGAGCATTAAGCAGCTGAGAGAAATTCAGTGCTGGGGTTGCGCCTCGCTTCGGTAGCGCTTGGCAATACCCCTGGAGTCCTGTTGGGTTTGAATTTGCGTATTGTGGTAACTTCCATTGTCCTGTAAGCTCCTAGGAGCTGAGTGGTTGAAGGTGCAAGAGCGGAACGCTCAGAACTCCTGGGCGATTGACAGGGCTGTGATAGTGGCTGTGTCCTTAGTGACTATCATTGAGCGCATATGGCTGATCGTTGAGTCATATTGCTGTTCCTAAGTGTAGACACCCTCCTGGCGGTGCTTGTCAGCTGTTTGTAACATCATGGCACTCGAACAGTTGTCAATAAGTATCCCATGTAATTGGAACAATTGAAACAATACATTTGGCCCAACTTGCCCCCAAACCACATTACAAAACATATAACATAGACCCAAGGTTACCATTACCATGGTTCTTTTTGTAATCTCCCATTTGGCACTTTGAACGCCAAAACAATTACTAATTGATTTCATTCACAACATCACTTGCCCCCTTATAAAGATTTGTCCTCAAAAATCAAAAGCAAGTAATACTTGCCATATTGCCTCACTCAGTACCAGTGGTAGAAGGGGAGTGCTTGGGTCGCCAACAATGGGACTAATCAACAAAATTTGTGTACTAATGATATTACTGAAGGCACAAGTGGGGCCCCTTGATCCCAAATTAGACTCCATAGAAGTTCCATGGTTCAACCAAGCTTCTTCTCTCTAGAATGAGGCAAAATCGATGTCACGTACTGTTAAAATACGTGCCCCTTAGTGATCGCCCCGAAGGACCCATAGATCACAGGCTGAACTTAATCTTTGCTCTATTGAAACTCGCGTTGCTTTGATTGGAAATTTCGCACTTACTCATATTCCGCACAAGAAAACCAACGATTTGTCCTTTACACACAGTCGCTGATACACTCGATTCGCCAAGGCACGCACAGAAGAAAACGCTTCAATCGATTCTCTACAAGCACTTTTTACAAAAGAGTTTGTTCGTCCGCCAATCACCACTAAAAACCATCTCAAATCACCTTGTACTTTGATAACCGCACAGCCGTAAATCCGCCCATTACGATCTGCACTTTAAGCCACTCTGCAATCCACTCAGAATACCTAGAACGTCCAATTAACCTCCCAGCTATTGATCCAGCATCTGAAGGATTCAATCGCTCCACTATGCTCATTGCCCTTGCCCACTCAGAGGATTGGGAGGGCTGCCGCTCGACTGAATGCCCAACTGGGTGGAGCGCCCAGTTTTATAGCCCATCCGCCTCCAAACACCCAAGTGAGAGTACATTCTCTCATACTATCATTTCCCCTTGCACTTCACAGCCTAACACCCCTTTTCCTCTTGACCTCTATCACACCCGCTGGAATTCCTAACCCAAATTCCATCACACCCACTTTTCCAGAATCCTATGCACAACACTAGCCACCAACGTACTTTACACCCTATTCCTCTTTTCACACTTCTTTCACGGCGCCCATAGCACCCCACGGCCTTCACACCCGTTGCCAAGGGTGGCAGTATAGTGACACGCCCTCATCACAGTCCATCACACCTTTTTGTATGATGTAACCCTATCAACCCTCATTTGCTGGTTCCGCCATCACGATGGCGCAACACCAGTGCTGCCGGCCCCGTGGCACAGTAGAGTGACGCCATCATAGCAAAATGTCACCTGGCACACTTCATCACACTATTGCACCGCACACCACAATTCGCTACGCTCCAGCGGTTTGCCCTCGCGGCTCCATGCTGCCAACCCATCAAAGAGCTGTCAAAGGGGGAGCATAACATAATGCTCAAGCGCGTGCCAAGCCAACACCTCCGGGTGCCGACACAAGCTGCGATGGCCCTGGGCGCTATCCTTAGTAATGCACCAGAAACCGACGCCATCATAGAGTCGATCCTGTGTCGCCTTGGGGCAAACGGCCAGAGCCCTCATGATGGAACATCAGATAAAGTTTAACAGTACCTTAAAGGTTGAAAAGTATCTTACAAGAGTATAGTACGGTTTAGAGGTCGTCACTGGGTTTGGAATGCCATCAAGCGCCATCAATCTAGTTTTTATAAAAACTTTTGCTTGTTTTCTGTTGTTGTGTTGGTTAATTTGGCAGAATTAGTAAT